CACCTTCACTAAGTCAGGAGATTAATATCTTTTCTTTTTAATTCATGAGATAAAATGTTATCGATAGTGGATTCTTTATGTTGGGCTGTTTGGTTTACGTATGCATATATGCATGAATGTAGATGTACGGAAAACGAGACTCCAAATGTAAACATGAGCTGGGAACATGGGAAATTATCTTGGGTTCGCTGTTAGATGCAAACGAGAACAAAGCAGGAGGTTGCTTCGAAAAAAAAAGGAGCCAGATGTAGAGGCTTTGAAACTCCATCCGTGTTAGGCGACAGAAAGCGAATGAATAACAAACGAAAAATCTATCTTTGAAATGCGAAACTGAAAGAGCGCGAGAAAACCGATTAATATTGAAATGAAAAGAAAATTGCGGAATATTAAAATGGCCGTAATGAACACAATAAGCGGGCCACTGGAAAAATTTCAAGGATTATTCTAAAAGGAATAAAATGGAGATGAGAGAAATATGGAAATGATTGTTGACTTGAGGAGATTCACTCAATTTTCAGTAATAACCACCAGATAACCCTGAGGGTGGAACCGTAATAATAATAATAATAATAATTGGACGCCAAGACGAGAAAAATGCTTACCCAAATGAGGATGCACCAGTTGAAATATTGATAGGCTTTACGTCCCAAGAGCTTTAGGGGGCCAAGGTCTAATCCAACTTTAAATAACTAATAACTACAATAATCGGATTGGAGGCATACCACACAAAAACCAATGACCATCACATACAAATAGTAAAACACCAAATCCACTGCATCAACCAAAAATCTGTACTCTTCAAGAAACAGCTTAATATACTTGAAATCATACCAACGAAAAACAAAGCGAATGCCATCCACGCCAAACGAGTAAAGCAGAAAATAAAACAACTTGACCAAATGAAATTTAAAAAAAAGTGGGAGGACAAGGTGTTGTATGGCAAATACATAAAAAGAACGAAAGAAGCAGATGTGGACCAACAGAAAACACATCAGTGGCTGAGGAACACCGGGTTGAAAGCTGAGACAGAAGGCCTAATTATTGCAGCTCAGGACTAAAGCCTCGCAACCAGATCCTAAAACTGTAACATAATTGTTGTAGAGTAGTCTTCACAAATGAGGCTTGTATTTCAATAAGTCGGTCCTAAATTAGGTTCGACGTACAAAACGTTAGGAACTTGAAATAAGAGTTAATGACGCAGCAATCTAGTTGTGATGGTTGATACTTCAATGTCCGACATCGACTGACTCACTCAACACCACTGAGCCCAACTGGCCACCGCTACTACTATTTATTATCTGTGGGAGAGTCTATTACAATAGAATAGGTATTATGGTATAACAATAATCAAGAATGGAACTAACCCGAAATGCAGAAACTGTCAAAAATATGATGTAACTGTCGATTAAAATTAACTTAGGATGTCCGGAACTAGCAAAAAATGAATATAACCAGAGACATAACAAGGTAGTGACATATATGCACTGGAAGTTATGCAAGAAGCACAAAATCGAAACCACTGAGCGATGGTATGAGCACCAACCACATACAATTTCCCAAAATAACGATATAACTATCCCCCGGGACATGCCAATTCAAACAGACAGGGAAATAAAAGCCAACAGACCTGATATTATCATTAAAGACAAGAAATTCCGGAAGTGTATGCTTATTGAAATTGCAGTATCATCTTAGAGAAACACTTACATGAAAATTATCAAGAAATTGTCCAAATACAAGAACCTAGGGATCGAGATTAACAGGATGTGGGGGATGAAAACTGAGGCTGTAGTACCAGTAGTAATAGGAACTCTGGACCTCATGAGAAAAGGAATGGGCAATTTTACTAATACTGTCACAGGTAACATCAACATACAACTTGCCCAGAACATCGCCTTACTAGGAATATCCTATATTCTAAGAAAAGTGCTATAAATTAAATGACAATTTTCCTATAGAGCCTAATGACTATAGTTTGGACCCGGCGCTACAGGATACAAATCAGGAAATATAACGTACAAATAATAATAATAATAATAATAATAATAATAGTATTGGCACTCACTGAATATAAAACCCAGCCTGACAGAGTGGGCCAATATCTTGGAAAATCCGCAACTTTACAGAGAGGAAATTACAAGAAATTGGTATGAACACCACCCAGACCCGGTTATGGAGATAGGATCTGTAACAATTTTATGGGACTTTACAATACACACAGGCAGAACAATCAAAGCTAATCGTCCTGACATCGTGATCAGAGACCACAAAAACAGAACGTGCTTTCCTACTGACATACAGATCTTAAAAAAAAACATCAAAATAAAAGGATCTTGAGGTGGAAATCTAAAAAATATGTCATATGAGGACATCCATAATCGAGGAAGTATTCCGTTCACTACCACAGATTTGCTCGCCAGTTACCAGTTCAGCCTGTCCTCTAGGCGCTGACGTGTTGTACATCTGTGTTCACGAGCCGAATTAATGGGGAGAGATGGGTTGATTTTTTTTTAAGTTTGAAGGATTAGATAACCAACGTGTCTTTGCAGGCATTTCAAGATACATTGGAACAATCGGAAACCATATCAAGATTTTATAAGCGTAGCTTTCATGTGACACAAGGCCGCAAGTATGGAGCACCCAGTTAGGATCAAACTCACTTCAGTCGTAACTGATCCAGCGAGACGAGCTTGCTAAACATTACACCACGTCGAATTGTCCGATCAGAGATCGTGTGAACGGGTTTGGTTACTCGACCTGAAAGTATTTCTAACTGGGCCCTACATATACGGTTATACGCTACTTTTGTCAAAATCTTTCAAAACATCACGCATATTTGGCTGTGATACATATGTTTGCTATAACCTTATCTGACTGGATGTCATGGTGAATATATTGGGCTTCGTATATTTGTGGGTTATTGACATATGAGACCACCCTGGCTCGTCAGAGCGTCCGAGAGAACAAATAGGGAATACAAACAGCGAGAGGGCACCACACCACCACTTTATTGGGAAAGGCTGGTACATGCAATATCTCTGGCTGTGTCCGCCTCTCACAGATCAGACTTTGTAACTACGCGAGACGTAGAAATCAATGGTTTTCCGAGACTATCATGCTGACCACAACCCCAACGATCCTTTGTTAGCATGCTGGTCTATTACTCAGTAACAACAACAATAGCAACAACTATCAGGTCATCCCATAAGTTCTGTCCGAATTTTAACTTTTTTAAAATGAACGAAATTTAAAGAGTATTTTATAATGTCTAATGGAGCTGAACATTATTTTTATGTTTAGATGCATTTAAGCTGATCAAATTTTATTTCAGAGAACAATAAAATTAAATTTTGTTTGATTAAAACCCTGCTAACATGGAAGTACCCAAGAATCATTTGAGGCACATCATGCTTTATGAGTTCAAGAAAGGAAACTCAGAAGCCGAATCGGCTAGAAACATTCACTCAGTTTATGGAGGGGAATGTGTGAATGAAAGAACTTGCAGAAGATGGTTTGCAGAGGTGGAGATTTCACCCTTGAAGATGAAGATTGAATCGGACGTCCAGTTGAGTTTGATGAAAAGCTTCTTGAAGCAGCCCTTGAAGAAAATCCTGCTTTATCAGTTGAGAAATTTGCAGTGGTTCTCAGTTCAAACCATACAACTGTTCATCGTCATCTTCAACAACCTGGAAAAGTTCCTAAACTTAGAAAATGGGTGCCTCATGAATTGTCTGAAAACAACCTCAAATCCAGATTTGACATCTGCTCTTTTCTCCATTCTCGCCAACTTGTTTCACTTTTTTTGGATAGACTTGTGACTGGCGACGAAAAATGGATCTTTTATCGAAATGTTAAGCGTCGTAGACAGTGGCTTGGTAAAGAGGAAGGACCCCAGCCACAACCGAGAAGGGAACTTCATAGGCAAAAGGTTCTTTCAATCTGGTGGGATCGCCAAGGAATAATCCACTTTAAATTCTTACCACCTAATGCAACAATTAATGCTCAAATATACTGTCAGCAATTAGAGCGTTTGAATCAAGCTTTGAGGAAAAAAGATCTGCTCTAGTGAATCGAAAAGAGGTGATGTTTCATCAGGACAATGCGCGACCCCACACAGCAAGAATCACGTTACAAATGATCGAAGAACTTGGTTGGGAGAAAATTCCTCATCCATCTTATTCTCCCGATCTTGCTCCTTCAGACGACCATTTGTTTCGTAGCTTACAGAATCAGTTAGAAGAAACAGCTTTTGTAACACAGGAAGAGGTTAAAACTGACATTTGTGAGTTTTTCGAATCAAAGTCAAAATAATTTTACAGTAATGGAATTAGTAAGCTTGTTACTAGATGGAAGGAAGTCATAGATAATCAGGGAAAATAAATTGTTGATTGAATCTGTAATTAAATATAACATTTGGTCACGTTTTCTTTATTCAAAATTCGGACAGAACTTATGGGATGACCTGATACAACGTTTTTATACGCACACTGAAAAGACACTACTTCAATTAATATTTGGTTGCTATACTCTAGTAATAAATTAATTTAAAAATTGACCTAACAGGGTTAGGGTAATATGTTCATTGGAAGATAAGACAACACAAAACCTTAACCGATAGAGATAAATGGTATGAGAAAAACCAATCCAAGATTAAGACGGTTCACGGGCGTTATCAGACATGCCGATCGCGCGAGACAAGCGAATGTATCAGATTTTGTTATAAAAGACTTTAAATATGATAATGACAAAAAATCTTATAGACATGTTTTACAGTCTGATAAAAAAAAAGAATTCAGAAAAGACATTACTAATCTTGTTAGATACAAAGATCTGGAAGCAAGCGACTCCTGTTTCCTCTGTCAGGATGACTCTTCTTCTTCCCCAAAAACGTGGCATTTAAACACAACAGTAAGTCCAGTAGTAACAGAAATATGAATGATTAAGATGAATACTAGGTGCTACTATAGCATGAGATCTACCTCAATATGTCGCCTACCCAGTTGCAGTGCGGAGGTCGACCTCAATATGTCGCCTACCCAGGTGCAGCGCAGAGATCTACCTCAATATGTCGCCTACCCAGGAGCAAGTTGGAGGTCTACTGCAATATGTCATCTACCCAGGTGCAGCACAGAGGTCTACATCAATATTCCGCCTACCCAGGTATAGCATGGAGGTCTACCTCAATATGCCGCCAACCAAGGTTCAGTGTGGAGGCCTTCCTCAATCATTCGCCTACCCAGGTGCAGCACGAAGGACTACCGCAATATGTCGCCTACCCAGGTGTAAAACGGAGGTCTACCTCAATATGCCGCCTACCCAGGTGCAGCGCGGAGGCCTTCCTCAATCATTCGCCTACCTAGGTGCAGCGCGAAGGTCTACCTCAATATGCCGCCTACCCAGGTGCAGTGCAGAGGTTTACCTCAATTATTCGCCTACCCAGGTTCAGCGCGGAGGTCTAACATGCCCCTCCCTTCACGTAGCCATGAGGTCATGTGTCTGGTCAGGTGACGCTTAACATGGACATTTATATCTGTCTCACATTTTATAAACACGTGATCTGCCCATATAAGAATGAAGCAAAAGAATCTCCTAAATCAGAATCCTCCACGACCTGAACTAGTTAGCAAATATTTCCGAACTTCAGGGTACTTCAAAATGTTGCTGAAGGAGTTTTATAGAACAGTAATCCTGACAGAACAAACAGCAGTCGCCTTTTTAAGAGAACCCAATCTGCTGGATACAGTTCAAGAGGAAGGTCCATGCATTTATGCGGTTTTATAGTTCGATGCAGCGCTAGAGCTCCCGCTATAGACGAAACAGGAGGTAGACCTCACGTTATATTGAGGTAGAACTCCCGCTATAGACGAAACAGGAGGTAGACCTCACGTTATATTGAGGTAGAGCTCCCGCTATAGACGAAACGGGAGGTAGACCTCACGTTATATTGAGGTAGAGCTCCCGCTATAGACGAAACGGGAGGTAGACCTCACGTTATATTGAGGTAGAGCTCCCGCTACAAACGAAACGGGAGGTAGACCTCACGTTATATTGAGGTAGAGGTCACGCTATAGTAGCACCGTATTTTTCATCTATATTTCTCGCTACTGAGGACCTCTCACGTACTTAAAAACGTCTTTCAATCCAAAATGCTCAATATCCTCCTCTGGAATATAACGCATTTACCTTATGTCTCAGGTGAAAGATGAAATTATTGTATTAAAGAGAATATAAAATAAAATAAAGAAATGAATACTGCTTTGATGCTACAACGAGTATGGCTCTCATGGCTTATGGCCGTTATTGATTGGAGATGTTAACGTGTACTTGTTTTCTCTTGGTGAATTACAATGGGCTACAGTAAATATCCCGTTCGTTATCACAGATTTGCTTGTCACTTGTCTGAGCTTAACCAGTTAGGCTACATTCTCTAGGGGTTGACCATACGTGCATTTCTGTCCATGAGAAGGAATAGTGTAATAGCATCGAAAGTTGTCTTTTGTTTAAGTTTGAAGGATGTGGCAGACAAGGCGACTTTGGAGTCATATCTGTTTACTTGGAAACACCCTCAATCGGAAACCGTTTGAGCGGATTTGCTTACGCAACCTAAAATTATTTCTAAGCGGTAATCCTATCACGTGTATTTAAGCGTGGTTCATGTATACCGTTATCAAACTGAGGGTCATGACAGGAATATAGGGCTTCGTATATATATACCCTAACCTCACTTTGTCGCTGTACTGTTTGCTTTCTCAATAATAATAATAATAATAATAATAATTTTTTACGGTTGTTGTTAATAATAACAATAGTAAAAAAAAAATAGCATGAGGATGTCTGGCTCCGTAAAGATGATACCCCACCATGGTATGGATATGATCTGAGGCCCATGTACCAGCAACCACGTATGGGTAAAAACGAACTATAATGCTGACACAACGAAAATTATTGTTAAACTTCATTGGTCGTCACGCGGGTCAACAAGGACTGTGATCCCCAGCGAGGAACCAGACTAGGATCGAAAAGTCTGCAAGTGGCAGAAACTCTACCCAAAAAGGCCCTCTATATTCATTAAAAGAATATCCCCCAAAAGAACAATAAATAGGGAAGAGTATATTGAAGTGATGATAGCATTTTATAGCTGACGATGAATCTGACAACGACAACAACGATGAAAGCCGCATATAATATCTGGTGAGAAAAAAATCCCTCAAACAGATTAAGTCCAAATACAAGGACCTCGAGATCAAGATTAACAGGATGTGGAAATGAAGACTGGGACTGTACCAATAGTAATCTGAGCTCTGGGCCTCGTGGGAAAAGGTATAGACAATTTTAATAACAATGTCCCAGGTGACATCAACATACAAGTTGCCCGCAACATCGCTCTACTAGGAATATCCCATATACTAAAAAAAGTGCTATCAATTAAATGAACATTCTCCTATAGGACCTAAGGACCATAGTTGGAGCCGGTTCTACAGGATAACAAAGCAGGAAACATAACATACACAAATAATAATAATAATAATAATAATAATAATAATAGGAAGAAAAAACGATGACGATGATGATGATGAAGAAGAAGAAGAAGTATTGCTAAACTGAAAAATAAATATCCTTTAAATAAAAGAAAAGAAGAATTAGGATTACAAAAAAATATTAATTTATCAAAAACTTAAATAGCCACGTAGAAATAATAATGCAGAATGCTAAAATTTACTTTCTTGTCTTTACTCCATCTCTCGGGTAATACCCGAGTAAGGGACGGTACTAAACAGAAATAATAATAATAATAATAATAATAATAATAATAATAATAATAATAATGTGAAAACCAGAATTAGTATAAAAAATATATTTAGTCAAATTTATGCCAACGTCTTTGTCACTTTCTCAACATTTCAGTCGTGATGAGCCTCCATCCTCCACCCCCGTTTAGGTGCTTGACTGTCTCGGTAATCTTCTAGGACTTCCGAACTGAATACTTTATTCAATCTACGAACGATAACTCTGCTTGGTTAATTGAACACTATTTAAATAGACTTGCCCACTCGTAAAATACAGGGAAAAATATTTAAAAGAAATAATTATTGAGAATTTGCATATTGTATAACCTCCCTTGGCTACGATATTTGTTCGAATCTAATAATATTGAATTTTATCGATTTAGAGGAGGTTCCTGTTTATAATATCGATACAGTATCAATTAAAACTCGGTTTGATAACACAATCTAAGGCTAGAAATATATAGAATATAAATCACGATTTGTTAATAAAGAAAATACACAGAAGAGATTAAATAAACGCGTAATATACAGGACACACACACACACACACACACACATATATATATATATATATGTATATAAATAAAAAGAACAGCAAGATATATAATGCGGTGTTCTTATAGATATTTTTATTTTTACAAAATAGTGCTCAATGTACATTTACAGAGCATTAATTAATTGATTTAAAATATGTTTTTTTCGCTACACAGTTCTAACCATGTTTCAAAAATGGAAGCTAAAAGCCACGAATTTAATTTTGTGATTAAATTAAAGACATTAGTTCCATTTAATCCTCAAGCGAATTTATATATATATATATATATATATATATATATATATATATATATATATATATATATATATATATATTGTGTGTGTGTGATGGTCCTGCACGAAACCTTCACCATTATAATCAATTCTCATGTGCTGTTGTCGGGCTGTCGGTTTCCTGGGAACTGATCTGCTTGAACCTCAGACGTCGGATTCGACGGAAGAGTCTAGCGATATATATAGACTACACAGGGTCTCCCCAAAAATTTGACATCATTTCGCAGGCCAATAATTTTGGCAATTCTTGTTGAAATAACCTCAAATTTTCACAGAATGTATAGAAACAGATCAAGATTTTATATTTAATGGAAGAAGACAGTACGTGCTTATCTCAGTGAGAATCTGCTAGAGAGATTGATCGGGAGTGTTGGAGATGAAGACAGAAATGGCCGCCGCGATCACCGGACTTCTCCCCGTGTTATTTCTTTTTATGGGGGATATGTGAAGGGACAGGTCTATGTCCCACGTCTTCCTGCTAGCATTGCTGAATTTAGGCAGAGAATCAATTCCGCACTGATAATGTTGCTGGAGACATGCTACAGCGTGTTTGGCAAAAGCTTAACAACCGACTTGACGTGTGCCGTGACGATGCACATATTGAACACTTATGAAATCGGTCTCATAATAAAACTTCAACACCTAAACTTTTAAAATAATGTCAAATCTTTTGGGACACCATATATATATATATATATATATATATATATATATATATATATATAAATAATCAACTGATTTAAAATATGGTTTCTTCGCTACACAGGAATTACCATGCTTCAAAAAAACCGAAGCTAAAAACTTCAAATTTAATTATATAATTAAATTAAAAGCTTAAGTTCTGTTTCATCTTCAAGCGAATTTTGGAATAACTTATTTTTAAATTTACTGAGTTTTAAATGCACGTATAAATTCATAATTTCCTGTTTCCAAAGATACAGAGAAATCCAATCATTCAGACAGGGGCGGTAGCGTGTTCACTTTTATTAACTATTGTTGTATCAATTATGAGTTACGTTCGAAAAGGAGGTTAAGTCTAGGTTGGGTAGGGGTGTATTTTTCAACGAATTATGACATCCGTTCATCGCATGTCGTCTGTTTTTTTTTTATCAATGAGAAAAAGGTTTTGGGCATTTTTTTTTCAGAATTTTTTTGGGCATTATATATATATATATATATATATATATATATATGTGTGTGTGTGTGTGTATGTGTGTGTGTGTGTGTGTGTGTGTGTCTGTGAGTGTCTGTACTATAGCGCATGTTGATTATCCCTTTTGTTAGAAAATCAATATTGCACTCAATGTGAAAGCTGGGGTTTGATGTGATAAGTAATGACAACAAAGATTAGATTCAAACTAGAATTCTAATTATGAATCACCACAAGGAAAAAATGCATTTTTTTTTACTGTATTTGATAAGAACAAATTGTAAAAAAAAAAGAAAAAATTCTAAAAGATTACAAAAAAAGGCTACTCAATGAATACGATTTTTTAGATCATAATTAATAAAAACAAAAAATAGATAAAAGTATATATAACACCATAATACTACTTGGCACAAATTATAAGACAAACTGTTTTAAATTTGCATTGTTTATTGAAAATTGCACTAAAGCTACCGTATAACTTTATATCATGATATAGCTAAATTGTTCAGTATAGATTTCCTTTCACTTTGAAGTAAATGAAAGTCTTATTTGATGGCTCAATGATTTAGTAATAATGTGCTTTCGCTATGCGTCTTGTCAATATACAATTTGTAAAGATTCACTAAATTATAAATGTTATAAGGCTGTGCGATAAGGCTTTCACTAATGACCGGAATTAAATTCCAACGCTACAACATGGGACCTAAACTTAATTTTTTACGGCGTCAAAAAAA